CTCGCAACAATAGTCGAAAAATTGAAAGTTTTCAAAAACTGCCATTACAGCTCCTTAAGCCTCAAATCAGTGATATAATCCCGGACTTCCAGTACGGATTTAGAGAAGGACATACAACAATTCAACAAACTCAAGTAGTTAATACTATTACGCAATGTCTAGAAAGGAAGTACGGTTCTACAACTTTTACTTGACATACAGCAAGCAATCAACGAAGTCTGGACTTCTATAGCAGATCAAATACTTACTATCCCATCCTTATTACCTTCTCTTCCAGTTATATCTACGTGACTGCTTTTTCCAAGTGAAATACCAAGATGCCCTCTCAGGATTAAAACCTATCCTCGCAGACGTGCCACAGATTGTATCATTGGTCATTTCCTATAGTACATGATATCCACTTCTGACTTGCCAATAACTGACTGCACTACTATTCCTACATTCACCGATGATACAGCTATCTTCGCAAAAGATTATCCTTATAGCGCCTCACATCATTCACAAACACACTTGGACAAAATAGAAGAATGGAACAACAAATGGGGGTAACTACTCGTACAAGTGCAACGAAATCAAAACACATAACCTTCTCATTAAGAAGAAAACAGTGTCTGAAAGTGAGAATAAATAATACAGAACTCTTTGAGACACCAGCTGACAAATATTTTGGATAACAGTTGGAAAACCACTTGTCATGAAAAACTCACATTATTTCAAAACGAAGGGAAGCGCAACTAAAAGAAAGTAGTCATGGCTCTTCAACAAAAGATTACAACTGTCTCTGTTCAACAAAGTAGTAGTATACTGAAACGTCAACACATAACTCCCAAACCGAACACACTTTCTATAACAAAACGTCTATTCTCTCTTGAAAGGAAAAATTAAAAAATTCACAGACAATTATACAATCTTAGTAACACTTTGACAATAATAAAAACAAAGGCTAAAAGCTTCAAGCACAATTTGTAAAGTTATTTTCAAACTCACACATAATAATATGAATAACATCGGTAGATGGTAAAAGATTTACCGATTCACATAATTTAACATTACGATTGAATGCAAAATCACACAATAATCCCCTAAAACATGATCTTGTACATTTACCATGAAAACACTTAAATCAGTGTAATCTCTCACTACCATAAACTACGGGAAACCGTTTCAGAACAAAGAAATCACAATTTTGTGCGCTCTGACACGATTCTAAAATCTCCGAACTAAATATTGTTTTACACCCGCTTATAGTTTCACGCATAATCCCAAGTTTGTTTGTTCACAAGCCGCGTCCTTTAAAAAGTGATTAAGTTCTATTTCTCCACCCGTGAGCACATAATAAAGTTCCATTCCCTCAATCTCCTCCTCCTTTTAGCACGAATTCCCTCCAAATATCTAATTCACTCTCCGACTTTTAAAAAACCTTTAACCAAGTCCCGTCTTTTCAGCATGTCATTTACGTCCGATTCAACCCATTCGGGCGATGTTATAACAAAATAATCGTTCGAGAGCGTACTTATCGTAATCTAGCGGACCGGAGTCCTCCTTTACCGTGATGTCGCGTCGAAACACCGTCTCTCCGGCCGCTCGTGTTGGCGTCTTCCAGTCCAGCGCGTCGAAAAGTGGCCGTTAAATGCCGCACCATACCAATCACCGTCCAATTACCACAAAGCTATCTAGCTCGCACCGTCAGCACCCAGATTGCCGTCTGTTATTTTTACTATTCCAGCAAGTCGCGAAAAATCATCACTACTTTCACAAGCTTTGTCGTTTTTGAGAATAATTTGTGTCACACCATCACCACTAAATAAATTCAACTCCTGCGTGCACTACCACGCCTTGCTCTCGCTTATCCCTCATCTCACCACGTCGTCTTACGTACATCGAGTACATCCTTCCACTAACAGTCTCCTCTCGTTCCCACAACGCTCTCTACCGCGTCGGTCGGCACAGACACCACAATTCAAATGTCTCAGAGTGTATATCAATACGAGTTTCCAACCTCTTGCCCGCGCTATTAGAATGTAGCGTTGTTATCTCAACCACAGATAGGCAACGGTTACAATGTAATGTTATTTGTCTAAATTCTAATAATTTACGAAATGTTCTTCAAAAACAGATTGTAAATTGTGCAGATGTGGAATAAAAAAATATTACAAGTTATGTTGAGGCTACGAAATAGTCGTTAGATACGTTGGGAGATGGACTGCGAGGAACATCGATAATTTTCTATCGATAATTTTTTCGTCAGGCAAGAGTGTTCTGGAAAATAAACGACACACAATTGACAAAGATTGTTACTTCGGAGAAGAAAACGAGTATTGAAGAGGTTGTCATGGTTATCTCTGTCCAGACGAAATCACACGTGTCATTACGAATTTCGTCGTTTTTTACTGCATGTTACACTTCAGAAAGGTGCTGGAAATTGCCTTCCGCACCCCGAATAGATTCTTGAATGCGTCCACATGTTTTACTGAGATTTCTGCACGTCGGCAAACTGTTCTGCACGTCGCCTTTGATGAAAATGCGAGCTCATGACGTCTAAAATGGAAATAGCTGGATTTCAAGATATTTTACAATGTCCACATCAATCCACATGTTTCACACGCAACTGCCCAGGAGCTGATGCGATCTTTTAGTAACGCTCCGAACTAACAGGAAGCAGTTGACAATCTACGTCAAGGAACTTTGTACGAAAGAAGTGAGTATTTGGTCAACTGGGAAGAAATTTGCGCGGCTTTTTTTATTAAATTGGACGCGAAATCATGAAGGCGAGAAGATTGAAATGTATTTTTCTTTTCCTCTGAAATGACTTCAAGGAGCAGCAAAATTGTATAGTTCGAAACATGGCGCCACATTTGAATCAATTTGGCGGTCAATTTGCAAACAAGTTACTAAACGGCTAATAATTGAATTACTTTAGTTATTATAAACATTATTAATAATTATTTTATAATAACATACAACTTTATAAATAACTAGGTCTAGCAAATCCCTTTCTAATTTGTCGGAACAAGCATCCTAAACATTTAATGTATTAAATGTCGTGTTTTATGTCAATATTTATAATTGTTACATACTTCAGTATTCACGTCTCGTTATGCGACATCAATCTAGCATTGTACAATTATAATGCCAATTGTATTTCTGTGTTTAACCATTCTTAATATGTGACGCTAGTTGCACAAGGTTGCGTACCATCCGCGCAGACGTCGCTCGCCAGAAGATTCCCCGAACGCCAACCCACGCCTTTCGTCCGACGCCCACAAGATTCTCGGAACCACTGTGTAATACCATTAGCTGTTGCAATTGTTAGTTTAATAGATTTGCTTTGCAAACCTTACCAAAATTCTCAACTTTTAATTGGTCACATGCTCGTGCATGTTTCATGCTCTTTGCATTGATGCTTAACTTAATATATGTGTGTAGCTTAGTGCCTTCAGACATAACAAACCAAAGTCGATGGTTCGTTGGCTGAACACAACGGCTCTCGCGAAAGGCAGTTCGCCCCAACAACCTCTGCAACGAACGTTCAGGTCAGTAATCACGGTGGTGGCAACCGGACTCATGTCCACTGCTCTGGCATTTAACTCATAAATTGTGCCAATTCACCGCAATATCGTACAAAATGCGTGTGAAAAGTATTTGCTTAACATTTGTATAGGGCAATATGCAACGTTTCTTACGTGTGTTGCACAATGTCTGTAATCCCGTTAGTCGAACTCATGAGCAGTGTACCGATTGTCTTATACGCTGTATAATTTGCAACCATGCAATTATCTGGGTGGAGAATGTGCGAAAACTGCAAATTTCACAACGTGCGCAGTGATGCAACTAGCTAATTATACGTAACTCATGCTAAGTTATGCAATATGGACGATGCATTACTTGCCACAATAACTGTCTCAACAAATCAGGTGCTAAGTTTTCTACTGTGTAGTAAAGGTTCGATCTGCTCGCATTGATCTCGCTAGCTGCACCGCCCACGAACACCTTGCGCGGACTGCAATAGGTCACCGGAAACTGTTGATCCAGTCAGCCGTCATCAGCCATCGTCAGCCTTCGTCACAAGTTCCTTCACCGCGCTTGTCACATCCCGCATGTCGGATTCTGCGCAGTCACAACTCTGACCATCCATATCATTGTTGTTTCTTTTCCACCGTGTGGCGTGCAACGCTATATTTGTGTTATAATCTGTGTTGTTAATTCACTTCGGTAATGCCATACTAATTACCATTAATTCAGTGACGTTCTTGGTGCTCTCTTCAACATGCATAAAGGCATGGCACAATAATGTCATTCTTCATTTTAATAACACCTGCGATGTATTTCAAGCTTCAGAAGGCTTGAAATATTCCAGTGATTCATATTCCAGTGATCATGCCAACAACGTTCTAAACCGGCTGATCTGAATTTACCTGTCTAAAGTAGTTCAAACTTTACTAATTATATTCAATTAATTTTTGTAGTTATGTAACTTTCATTCGGTTTAATTAAACTTCCTCACTTAATTTTGTGTTTTCTGAATCTCCCTATACGAAAGTTCTTGCCATCAGAATATTACTCGTATATGTTGCTATTTCAGAAACAGTACAGCGTGTATGTCCGCGTAGAACATTCTGGTCCTTCGAAAGCTATTGAGGTAAGTGGTGCAGTGAGCAATAACTACAAGTACTCCTATCTGTCCACTGGTCAAAGGCTGCGAGCTCCTCCATAATCCGAGCTAGTATACAAAATAACTTTCGGATCATATAGATCCGAACAGTAGAACGGTGTACTGAATTCAAACAATACAGCAGGGTTAAAAACTTGTCTAGACAATCACGAATACGAATTTCATGATAATACTTCTATGAAAATTCGATATTTTCTGCATATCCAGAATCCACACATTTCAACTACATCAGCCCCGCAGTCACCTTTCCGAACATTAGTTGTAAGTGTGAAGAAGATTTCAACTTAAAAGTCAACTCGAACTAAAGTTACTTTGCAGAAATGCTTACCTGATGGATTTATTCTCACGGTAAGGTTTTGATGTGGGTATAAAATACATTCTTTGTCGCCATACAAATCCTGTAAAATATTTATCGTTAGGACAAGAAAAATAATCTTGCCTCAGAAAGACTTGTGTAGTTAATCTCATTAATCTCAGTTGGTTTTGTCTCTCCATCTTCCTAGCTATTAACTATAGAATATATGCTTAATAGAAATGTTGCGGTATCCTATTGAAATTATGCGGTATCCTGATAGTGAATTGAATTACCACTTGCCAACATTTCGCCCCAAAATTCACAAAAACTACTAAATTTTTTAAGGAAATTAAAATAATTTGAGTTAAAAAACTAATAGTGGAAATAATTTTTATTTGCAAAAATTTTAACTGCATAATGCAGTTGTGCAAAGGAGAACGAACTTTTCTATATTATTATTTTCTGAAAATTCAGAGAAAATTATTAAGCTATTTTTCCAGTAACGTTATGTAAAGTACCTACAAAATGTAAAAACTATTTTCTAAATAGAAGGGCTTTGAGTCGATCCAGATAATTTTGGAAATCCATCAAAATGGAACATCCTACAAATAGTTATATATTTACAGTAATTTGAGTACAACGTCCTTCCTGAAATTAGTTGTTAAATGTAGAAAAGTTGTAACGGTAAAAACCCCATTATCCAAATAACAAGCCATTATCCCGAATGCAGGCGTTCGCGCGCTTTTTAGAGGATCGGGACGGAGGGCGCAAGTGGGCAATACTGTGCGCACAGCGCGCTTCATGCGCATCGAGCGCCAGGTTTCTTAACTAGAGTTCTTTCACTTCCCTCGGTGCAATGGAAAGACCCTCACTCCTAGAAAATCTCACATTTGCTATTAACCAGATTTTCAGAAAGTTGAAATTTGAAGGATATAATAAAAATATAAATATAAATTTTGCTGAATAGAAATTAGAAGGTAAAAAAATTAATTTTTGCAACTTTCGAAAAATCAAGGTTTTCAACGAAAATGAGACATGCATATTCGCATAAATGTCCTTCATAATTTCTAACAATAAAATTTAGTCAAAAACGTTGCAGGTGTTTTGAAAATGTCCAGAGGCTTCATGTAAAGGAAAAGAAATATCTAAAAATTCAAATGATTGAACATTCATTCATTTTTATAATTTATCTTAAAAATTGAATTATATAACTAGTATAAAATTATTACATAATTATTACTAAAGGCAAGAAAGTATATGCCATTTTAGCACCACTATTTCTTCATAATTGAGGAAATCCCATGCCTCGGCCTAAAAGATAATGGGTTTTTGGAATAACGTTTAGAGAATGTGAAGAAATATTCATCAAAATATATAAATTACCGCCGAAATCTAGTTGGCACGTTCGCCTTTTGGATATTATTGATTTCTGTCAAAGGTAGTTAATTTTGAGGGGCAGGTAGATCAAATTTAACTTGTCTGATAATATCAATTTGGTGGTCAACTTTCAATTTTGGTAATTATTTTCTTTTTTACTTTTTCAGAGTAAGTAAGAATGTTTTGCTACTAACTCTTCCAAGACAGCTCAACGAAAGATAATGAATTTTTAGTCATGGGTAAATCGTGCAATGAGTGGGTAGTGCTAATCCTTACAATATATATGATATGCTTAATATAGAAAAACATACTTATAGCACGTAACTCATACCTTAAAATTATAGCCTGCAGGATTTGTCAGTCCGATTTCATTCAACCTCACGCTATATATGTACGGGTCACCGTAAACTCTGTTGCTGGCGAGTGCAACCGCGTAAGAGTGAGTATAACCTACTGGAGTGACAGGTCTTATCCACACTGTAATATCCTTCTCCTAGAAGCAAAATATGTAAAACTATAATCACATTACGTACCTTTTTGTAGTGAAATAGTTTTCTTCTACGCTACTATCCATCTCCATTTCAAATTAAAAAACATTCGTCATACCTTCTTCACTCTTCTCCCTTGAATTCCCAAAACATCTTGGTTTATGGCAATAATTTCCCGGTTCAACAGAATGTCTTTAAATTCTGGACGTATGGTACGCAAGTCATTGGACATTATAAGAGGAGCAGCTAATATGGCCCAGATAGCCATCTGAGTCTTACTCTGATCTAAGCTCAGTCCATAATTACCAATTATAAGCTGAAATGAAATGGTTTGAGAACATTTAAAAGAATTTATGTAACTTCAGAATTATTATAAACATTACAAGTTAAGACAATTTATAACTATTCAAAAGCAGAATTATTTGTTCTTTGAAGAAAGTGAAAACTTTATTTAAAATATTATCAAAACCATAAATGTAATTTCAAAGTTTGTTGAACTTGTGTATGTGTGCATAGTACGTTGCGTATCCAGAAAGTTAGTTTCCTAATTTTGTGAAAGAAAAGATAACATTTTAACCAATTCAGACTAATTTTATGTTATTGTTGACATAACTACCACACTTGTCATATAGTGGTATCAACTTTTGAATGCCTGTCTCGCAGAAGTATGCCGCCTGCGGCAGGAACCAGACTGACACAGTCGTCTTAAGCTCTTTGTCGTGGTGAAAACGCTGAGGGGAGGGCAGGAATTCGCTTCAAGTGAAGGGAAAAACGCAAATCGCTGGATGCGAGATCAGGACTGTACGGGGGATGATAAAACAGCTTTCAGCCGAACTCGTGCAGAACGGTTGTTTGCCGCGCCGTATGTAGACGAGCATTATTATGGAACACAACACCTGCAGCAAGCATGCCAGTAAGAGCATGCCAACACCTGCAGTAAGCATGCCAGTACGTTCAAACGATGAATATCGGTGGGCGCGATGTGTTGTGTATTAAGGAACCTTGGATTGGATTGGACTGGACATGGATTGGACCTGCTAGGCGGCGGGAGAACAAATAAGCGCCGTTTCGGGCAACTGCTGCCGAACTACTGGCGGGACCTGCCCGGTTGGCACATATTGATATGTCAAAAGCTGTTACGCATGCAATTTCCCCTTCTAAATGCGTGTACTTTCAAAGGAAAAAATAGGGAAACTTATTTTCTGGATGCGTTTCGTATATTAAGCAACTAGTTTATAATATTAAAGTTCATTACACACGTGAACGTTTAAAAAATATCAGAGGGCTTCTCTAATTTGGTAGAATGTTTTCTATTGATTTGATTCGTTTAGGTCGTCCCATGTTGAATAGGTTGAAGATGAGGGGCCAGACGAAGTACTCGAGAGGAGAGTAGGAAGTAAGTAGAGATGGAAGGATGATGAATCTTTTTGGATCTCCTAATATCGGGCTATGGAGGGTACAGGAGAGAAACTGGGTTGGCACACCAGGTCACTGATTAAAGTGGAGGCCCAAACCTTGCATTAGCCAGGAGGATGCCTTCAGCAGATAGTGAAAAACCCGTAAGTTTTAGTACCCCTTCTCACGTCGCCACCTCTGCGCACTTCCGAACGCCGCGGCTCATAGCAGAGCATTGGTTTGAATGGAGGCCTTTCCGGGTGCGGCGGTTTTGCGCCGCTGCGGCGTTCGGCGCCGGACTCTCGCTACGCGAAGCGGAGGAGGGCGTACGCGCCACCGCTAGCAGAACACAGCTTTAAATGATGGCTGATCGCGGCGTTTTACCTGCTGCGGTCACCGGTCACTTTGTTCGTCGTCGCCGGAGGGTCTGCGAAACCTACCCCTGCAGCAGGGGCGTCGGAAGATCCCTACCGCTTGTCGGCCCTTACGACGCCTTATTTAGGCGCCCTTAGGACGCCTACGTCACAGCGGCGCGCTTCCGATAAGCGGCAGAGCTCTTCCGACGCCGCCACTGCCGCACCGCTGTCCGTCGTGGAAGGGGGTGGGTTGCTTTTTATGGGTCATAAGGACCGTCCTTACGGAGTAACGGCGACGAAATTTAGGCGACGAAATTTAGGCGACGAAATTTACGTATTAAATTTTTAAGCCAACTAAACATTTTGAATCGGGAATTCTCCTCATCAGTACCCAAATAATACCATATACCAATACCCATATTAATACCCATTTGTCAATAACCAAAACGTTATAATTTGCTTCTCGTAAGTTTAAACAAAACAAAAACATACACATTTCTACAACAATCAAAATAAAATAAAAAACAATATAAACGTTTGAAAACTTTTATACATTTAATATTCCCATTGACGCCATTATTTACATTACACACATTCATATATTTCTTTCCTCCCTATGCACGCATGGCCATTTACCCCTATCACATTATTGAAATTACTAATTTCTAACAAAACTTGATCATCTCATAATCCGTACATTTTGCATGTCACTTTTTATCACTTTCCTGGTTCGTGTCTCCTCTGTCTTCGTGACCGCCTAAATCCACGTAAATTCCAAATTACGTTTTAGCATCCTCCAATTACACCATTAGTCATCATGATTGTAATCTTCCCCAGCGCATACAGGATTTGAACTTCACCGACTTACAACATTTTTACCGTTAACACGGCCAACTAACTTTTACCACCTCATCTTCACCGTGTCGGAATACGTTCTGTCTTCTTGTTTATAAAACGCGTTGATCCTTTGTTTATCTATAAGCTGCGCAGTGTTGTCCACATTTCCCTTCCCGTTTCGTTCGTCTGCGCTCATTCGTTCTCCCTATTACACTTTCGCAGTGGATATTTATGTCTAAGCTTCTTATACAGTTCTTTCCTTGACTAATCGATTCTTTCATCCTTTTATATAATTAATTATCATGGGAATTCCTCACGAGTCCATTTCAAATTAATAATTACTATTTTCTTAGTTCATTGATTACATTACACTTCCCTGAAATTCTCATTATTTACGAAATCGCCATATGATTACTTCGGATTCCCCATTGTAGATGTCGTGCAAACTTTGTACTACACTTTATTTTAATAATATTGATTTGACTCAGTGAGAACTCATCGCACTTCATGCGAAACGTCCCTTGTATCCAATGAGCAAAATGGATAGAACAAGAAATGTAATGAATCTTAACGTGCCTTGTTCTCTCATTGACCCATACCTGCTCAGAAACAATGCCAATGTCACTTTCTAGACGTCTGGCTATCCCACAGAGGTTAGTCGGCTAAAAGCCGGCAGATTCTCCAAGTCATCGTCAGACATTGACACCGGACGAATTAAAGGAGGAGATGTGGTGCTCTTACTATCAAAACCAAAAATCAAAAAAGATGGGCTCGGAAATAGAAAGATTGAAGATGAGGAGAGAGCGGAATCTCTATAGGAGACCTGCTCTCGATTCAAATAAGCATGTCAGTCAACGACGATACATACTCAAAAGAGGAAAATTCACATCAAAACATTTTGCAAAAAATGACTGCTTCAAATGACGTCCAGTAAAGTTTTTAGAAAACTCAGTGAAAGTTTGCATTTGCAGTGCTTAAACACCATTTTCTTAAAAAATTGTTGAAATTCTTCAATGATAATTTCCGTATATTACGAGGTTGTCTTCTTCGGAATTAAATCATAAAAAAGAAATGACAATAAAATACACTTACAATTAGCACAATTTAAGCACAAAGTCGTCAATTCACCTACAAAAATCACATGTATACACATCTCTCTCCCAACCAGCACTTTCTGTTTGTGTCCACCCATGATATTAAACACGCTGTAGCCAATCTAAACCATTTCTGTCCTAAGAAAACATCCGTTGGCAAAGTAGACACGATACATCATCGTTGTGGGGAGTTTTAGTGGGTTGTGATCCTTGAAAGTCCGAATCGGTGTCATCCAGGGGTGGCTGTCTCTGATCTTTTGAGTCTCAGGAGCCCGGTGAAGGATGACGATTTTTATCTTTTTGCTCTTTGGTTAGTGGGGTTTGATCTTTCTCTCTTTTGGCTTTCACCTCATCAGAATATTTCTTTTTGTCCATTTGGAGTGGACTTCACGGTTGTAGCTCGGAACGTGGTAGCTTCCCACATTAAGGTGTTCCAGTGACCAGTGATGCTTTAACTGACGTTAAGTGGAATAATTATAATTTGTTACATTGCCATCAGGTTCATCATTTTTAGGTTATTAGACACGGTTTTGGTCTGGGCTACTCCGGAGAAGTAGTCCGTTTTTAGACCTTACTCACTAGCCTATATTTATACCAACCCCCCCTTTTACAAAACCATCATACCGAGCAGTACTGGTATGAAGTAGGAGGTTGAATGAGGCATTGAAACCGTTCACCAATTCAACGTTAACACAGCCCTCCTGCCAAACATCATTTACAGCCAAGTGGCTAATAGTGAAAAACAGTATTGTACATACCTGTTCATGGTTTGACGTAGATAAAACACAATACATGATTTTTACGCATAGATTTTGAACGCGTGATTTGCTGGCCAACTGCTCGTCGCTCTTCGACGGAACCGAGGGGACTAGTTTCACGCCATTCCCAAATACACTTCGACGCCCTACGGATTCACAACAGAACCTAGCCCGTTTTTAGACACTGGCCTATATTTGGACCTACACCTCTATTCTAAAATACGTAAATTTCCATTCAATTATGTTATGATTTATTCTGGAACACGCCGTTGAAGCCTCCCCATTCCTCCTCAATGTTTTCCACAAATCGGAGTGGCATGGGTATGAGAAATGAATTATTCTCTACAAGATACAATTATTTTGATTCGTGAAATATTATTCACAAATGCCATTGTGCTTTGGAAATTAAAGAAAATGTACAAAGCGCGAGTGGTATGGGTTGATGGACGAAGCATAAACAAAATTGCGAATGGTGAAGTAAGAATATGATGTGAAAGAAAATATGAAGAATTGTTTTACCATATCGGGATCATTCCAATGCCCAGGTCCAGCATATTGATCAATTTCATAATGATTTTCTCCAAACCACTTTATTATTGCTTGCACAACGGACCATGAATCTTGGATGTCATAGTAATTTCTCCACAGATTGCAATGTTTAGAAACTTGTTTCATATTTGGCTGAAAGAATCAATGTTGCATAAAGAAATTTACAACAAATTGTCAATGTAGAAAAAATTAAAAATTCAAAATGTTGACACCTACTTTTTTTCCCTTTTCCACATAGTAATAAGGCCAGCTACACGAATACACCATTGGACGACCAGTTTTATTTAAATAGTAACCAAACGCAGGGTAGCCTGAAACATGCCTGAGTCATAATTTAAACTGCGAATTAGGTTTTTGTCAATTACTTCGTTATCGTACCCAATACAAGCTGAACCCTAGACACTGCCCTGTTACTTCAAACACAACTGCGGCTGGCCACTCACGATCTCCGACTCTCCGTCCGTCCTACCGTCAGTTATTATCCCCGGCCTCCATCTGCCCAGCCCTCTCTTTCTTAGTCGAGCCTCATAGTGTACAAACTGTGTAATGGTGCTAGCGAGTAAGTTGTTAATATTGTTAACTCAAGTGTGTTTCAACAAGTCAAAATGCAAAACGGGTGAACAAAAGAACTCCAGTAGAACTAACTAGAATGCTTGTCCCTTAAAATATTTTATATAAAGAACAACATTTATTTATTACGTCTTACTCACTTAACGCCTCTTTTTATTCCTAATTATTCAGTATACTATACAGAGTTATAAGTATCAATACTTATTTAATTCCACTCCGATAGCCATTGCTAATTATAGGATATTTATATTAAATGTGCATAATGTGTAAGGTGTGTGCAGTTCAACTCCCTTGTCTCTTTAAAAGTGCTGAAACTATTTTCATCTATTGTAACTCGATTGTCATCTTACAAGGTTAGTACTGTTTGAAATTGTAAATTTTTTCCCTTTTGCCGCTTCCAAAGTAGACATCACATAGAGAAAATCGAACGATTTGCTGCTCACGTCGAATTTTCCGATTGAGACCTTAAATAGAGAAGTGAATTCTCACTGCCAAGACCTTGATCTGATTCACCCTAGAATGACCAAATAACTTCACCAATGGCTAAGATACTTAAATTCGAAGTGTGCAACGAAGCTATTTCTATTTTTGACTTTATTCGCCATTTTGGATAAGGGGAATATTAAAAGAGAAATTTGCGAATTAGCTAGATTCCTACATTAAACGAGTGTCTCAGTATAGATGTTACGAATTTCTAGGACATGTGGTGGGGTCAAAAAGGATCACTTTTTGCCATGAACACGTAGTTGTAAATTTCCTATGAAGAAGTTATGTGACGGGTACCCTGGTCATGTAACAATTTCATGGGTAGGCATCGTCAAAGGTGGCTCATGGCATCAGCTGTCACTGCAGGTCCTCAGACCGGGAGGTCCTAGGGTTCGAATCCAGACGGTGGCAATATTTTCGGCACTAGCTGGCCAGCTAGGTGGAATTCAGTCGCTGTCTGGAGGAGAATTCCAACCGTTAGTTTTCCGTCGTGTCTCCGATCAACATCAAACGACTGCAGTACCCTAACAAACGGGCCAAGTACCGCGCAAGATCCTCACCTCTTACACTCACGATCCTTCCTGCTTCCTAGCTCCTCACCTCTTACTTAGTCTTACACTCGCATACACTAAACCTGCCTCTCCAAGCCACGCCTGTCGAGAGACACGTCGGGAGTTTTGAGCTTAACCCGGCTGCGGTGGTGTCACGCTCGTGGGAGATATCTGGTTGGGGAAAACCCCGCAAGCCAACGGGTAGGTCGACTCTGGATCTCGCCATCTAGGAAGGTAAGATCACTGCCACCTCGCATGATAAATAACATGCAAAAACATGCATATGGGACTAATGGCCTTAGCAGTAGGCGCGCCCGGAATCACTAATCATTCATTATTCTAACCCAAAGAGGTTTCTTGAACCCGGCGAACATTAAGGCGTGATTAGTTGCCTACCAATCAGGGGCAAATGTCGCACCTCTTCGTTATGTCTTACTACTTCGTATCATTGTTGAAAGTAACCTGCCAATACGTTTAAGGCATGAAGATATAAATCAACATTACCTACTGCAGCACCTATCTACAATGGCTATCATCACTCTTCCGGTTCTTGTAGAGTTACGGATCAATTGCAAATCATTAGAACGTTGTGGCCGTCTAATAGAGGTTAATGTATGAAATGTACCTGTGCATTAACCGTGAGGCCATATTGCTGTATAAGAAAGGGAAAATGTACACGTGTCTTTTTAGACAAATCAATCGATTTCACGAAGTAATACCCGTTAATTAAGACGATCGCTTAATCGATGTGTCCATAGCAGCATGTTTCACTCAAGTTTAAAATAATAATTGTGGGTGCCTCTCATATTCAATTCATCTTCATTCATAATCTTTCTGACTTACTGTTCGGAAACAAAATGTTAAAATAGTATTTTCTCAACATTGCAAATTTTAGCTTTTTTATATTGAAAGAGGGCGACGATATATCCCAGAAAATCTGCTAGCAAGGTGCTTCATTGAAATAGAGATTACTAACCTCTATCCAAAATTTTAATATCTACATAGCAGCCATCAAATTTGATATAATCCACGTCCCAATCCGCAAAGGTTTGGGCATCAAGTTGTAAGTGATTAATACTTCCGGGATAGCCTTCACATGTCGTTGGCCCACAATTTTCATACATGCCAAACTTCAATCCCTTCCCATGAATCTTTAAAAGAAAGGTGTTTAATTTAAACCACACAGTTTAAAATGTAATCACATTTATCAATTTGAAATCAATTAATTCATTTAATATACAAATTAAAGCAATGTACTTGAGTACCATTGTACAACCTAAAGAGCTAAACTGAAAACTAAAAATACCCATACATAGCTTGCTAACTGCTTCATTCCATGAGGGAAGCGCTCGGGGTCTGGTTGTAGGCGTCTATTTCTGTCTCTTTCTTTGGAAAGCCAACAGTCATCAATAATTACATACTCATAACCGGCTTCTGCATACCCTTCTGATACCAATAAGTCTGCTGCTGTTCTGAACAATCGATCACTGAAAGAAACATAATATAAAATCAAGAAAGTCTGCAAACAATTCAAAATGAGACATGTCTAATCATAGGATTAATTATTTCTGCATTTACAACACATTTTATGACATGAAAATTGGGTGTGTCAATTAACAAATATGGTGTAAGTAATGTAAATATTGGGTATGTAATGTATACAAACTAAAAGTTTACACAACAATCACAACTAATCAATAAAAATAAATCTATCCTCTAAAGAAACATCGTAAAATATACACAGTGAGTCGCCAGTTACTGGCTTGTCCCTTGGCTTGTCTTACAACAACTTTTTGAACAAATATTTGTACAAACTTTTGTAATGTTTATACCTATATTGATAGGTTGGCAATAAAAAAGGGGTATCATTAATTTGAGATATTTTTAAGACCTTAACATCAGGTAAATTTTAAATTGGTAAAGATTTAAGAAGGAAAAACTGTACTTTACCCATAGCAAACATGGCGTGTATAAGTGTGGCGTTCTCTGGCAAATGTTCCCCACATCGCGTGTTGTGCCGGAGAAAGAACACTGACTATCGTAGTATCCACCAAGTTCGTCTATTACTAGTGGCCTCATCAACTCTCTGCCATCAGCGGCTCCCATGCCGCCGTGTGCATCACCGACACTGCACACGCCCTGACGCTTCCCACCCAGCGGCTCATGTTCCGAAGCCTTGCAAATTTTTGAAAGTGTCTTCATAATTCTATTTGCTATTGCCCTGTTTGCCGTTTATAATCGAAATTGCGGCTTGAGTGGCTTGAGATGACGTGCGCTGATATAGGGTTGGACTTTGAGAGACGAGAATGCATATAAATGTACAGCTTGTCCTCCCCTCTTAAAATGTTACTACTCTAAATGTATGTAAATTCAGTGGTTGGGCGGAAGAGCAGGCCCTATGGCCTGAGCCTCGCCATTAATAAAGACATTATTATTATTATTATTATTATTATTATTATTATTATTATTATATGGGAAGGGAAAAATGGGAAACCTTTTCAGATAGAAAATGGCTAGGGTTTAGGTAACGGAAGAAAGTGAGCTACTCGATACATCCACTTACTCCCGCTGGAAGATGAGCTGAATATGTAGGAGAGGATGTGTAGATGGAGGTGCGTCACTTAATAGGTGGCAAAACGACCTTATTTCAGAGTAGTGGTGGGGAGACGGAGAGAATTGTGGGTAGGTCCGCCTTTATCTCCCACCCTAGTAAGCAGCGCTGTAGAGGGACTTTCGCGAACTAATTTAAAAAAAATAGAAAGTGTGAGTGGATGAATGAAATTTCCCCAAAATTTGATTTTTTCGTTATAAGTACAGCACAGTACAGTTATATAACAATTTCTCCAGTTTCTTTCGGCGGTGTTCGCATCTGCTGCACTTTTAGAGTTGATTTGGTTATTTTAAAGAAAATTGCCGAAATATAGGCGTTGTTAAATTCCCAATTGCCACAATGGCCGAAGGGGAGATACAGAAAAGACAAGGCTGTGTTCTTTTCCAAGTGATCCTGAACGGTAAGTGAAATTAAATATTTGGAATGATTCGTTTCGAACGGTTTCAAATGATTAGGATAATAAATATTTATTTATTTAAAAACCTGTTGAAAATTTAAATAACATCAAATTTTGTTAACATAGCCCAACGGTATAATTTTAACAATTATTAACGAACAATATATATCAATGACTCTTTAACACTTCTTCAAACAACAAAATCAATATAATCAAAACAACTTTTTAATAGTTCAACTGGTCTTCAAATAACATTCCTTAATTTATTTATTTTTTAAATTTCAAAACCGCAAAATTAAGCTACTTTTCAAATAAGGGATCAAAAATGAAATTCAAAATTACCGGCCAATTTCTCTTTTGTCAGGTTTCTCAAAAATATTGAAGAGACTTTTCCATAAGCGAATGAAAACTTATCTCAGGAAACACGAAGTGTTTTCAGACTTGCAACATGGGTTTTGAAAATCAAAATGTACGACAACCGTCTTTTTATCTTTTCTTAAAGATGTTGCTTCATCAATGGAACAAAATGAAGGACCTATTGGAATATTTTTAGATTTTTCGCAAGCTTTTGACGTTATTGACCATAACATCTTGCTATCAAAACTACCTTCTTATGGAATTCGTGGTATCGCCCTAGACTGGATAACCTCGCACCCTTAACATCGATCTTAAAGACTAGAAGTACCGTTCTATCACGAAAGGGCAGTATTTATTTATCTTTCCAATTGTTCACCAATTGAATATGGGGTCCCGCAAGGTTCGATCTTATGTCCTATCCCCTTTCTGTTATACGTAACCGATATGTCCTCGCCAATTAAAAACGGAAGAACCGTTCTGTTTGCCGATGACACGAATGTTCTTTGCGAAAAAGAAACAAAAAGTACGATTTCAGAAGTTTCAAATTGGTTTTGTAATTACAAATTAATATTTACCGACGGAAAAATAGGTTCAATGCATTTTCAATTTCAAATCAGTATTCGCATGCTCCATTGAAAATGAACAATATACAATTGCTGATGTTCAAGTAAGAAAATGTCTAGATCTCTCAATTCAGTCAAATCTGAAGTGGAATATACATATAATAGAATTAAATATTGAATTAAATTCATTATGTTATGCATTCCGAATTTTTTTCAAATCCTGATAGCCTTCATGCAGCTCATTACGTGTATTTTGCAAATATGGCTATGTTTTGTATGCTAAAAGGGTGTCTATATATTTCGTTGTTATTAAAGAGAGCCAGGTTCCCAAATAAATGTATTATTATTCGGATTCCTGTATACGGGCAACTTCGCGGATCCACACTAAAAATATAAAGGTGTACTGTGCAGGAACATAAACTCGAAAACATCGTGATTTCGTCGACTAAATTAGCCTTTGTAAACTTCGCGTTCATCACACGAAATTGTTATTCGTTTATTTCACATCGATTTTACAAACACGAGTAGATCTGCCTCGCCCAGGGGTGTAGTGAAATTATAAAGTTAGAAATATTAATTAATATTAGTTATCAGGGATGATCCATTACACATGTTTTGTGGCTCATTGATACCTAAAAATCGAATGACAGCAAAACGTATGTTTGCCCGTCTGTCCGTGCATGTGCCCATCCGTCTGTAAACAACGCTAGCAGCAAAACCGTTCAGCCAATTTTCTTTAAAACATATTCTCCATTCGATTTGGCTGATGTCGCGGCCCCTTTAATTCGAAACCGATATTTCAATTTTGTGGGGTACCTTACATTATGTCCCTAGGACAATTTTCATATTTTCAAAAAAATGCATTCATAGGTTTTTTTATTAAATTTTGTTGTTGGACAGTGTGACGGACGTTTATGGTGCAGGCCTGATGGTAGCTAAAAACCCGATTTTTTCGAAAATTTCAAAAGGTCAACATTTTTTCGGTGTCACCTTACAACAATAATATTAAAGATAGATATTTTCCCTCAATGAAATCTATTCCTTTATTTTGAAATAAGGTCATGTACTCTTTTTTGAAAATTTGTGTACTTTTCGTGTAATTTTTGCGAGAAACGAATTTAATATTTCGAACGTAATTTTAACGTAACGTAACGAACATAATTTTTCGAAAAACGGAAGAGAAAGAAGTGCTGTTTTAGCATCATTAGTTAGCAAGTTATGCTACAAGCAACAGAGCGGACGGACAAACGGATAGACAGAAGGACAGGAAATCAGACACAGAAAGACGGACGGACAGACGAACACATGAACGGACAGACGAAGAACAGATAGACGGATAGATGAAAGGACGTTTTGCATTAATACAATTTTTTGGTATCAAAGATCGTGCTTTCTGATGACACAGGTGTTAACAAGAACTAATTTATTAGATATACGAATAAAATTTATCCAATTTTGCTATATCACGTCCGCACAATACGAGTTTCTCTGTCGGAAATTTGTCATATTGTACCGTTGCGTTAGAATTCTTTCTCTATTCTGCTTAGACGAAGACTCGTAGTGAGACACAATAATGAATACAATGGGAGTATGTTATATTCGTCAATCAAATATATTATTCTTGTTTTATTCACTACAGAACTTCTATCAGATATTATTTATTGACCTGCTGTAAGTAATCTCAAGTAAATTAGCATGTTTCTAACATGACCTGTTTCAAGAAAAATGAATCTTTCAAGTCTGACTCAACATTGAAATTTTTTTATGGTTCTTAATCAAAGAATAAAATTAACCAGAAAATAGCATATGTATATATTTTTTTAAACTCATAAGAATTACTAACCGCGCTCCGAACGTCTCGTTTTGTAATTTTAATTCGGACAAAAAGGGTCACATCATAGGGTACTTGCGTAATAAATATTCCAACATTTTGATCACGTGATCCAATTAATGAATGTTTTCGGCCGCGCCAATTGGAAAAAAAAAAAGAGGTTCGTTAGTCCCGTAAGTGTAGTCCATCTTCCCTTGCGAAAGGTAGCTGTGTTCCACTCGTTAGAGCCTGTTATTCGGCGCCGACCTTCTCGTCGGCTTGCACCTGATTTACCCAACCAGGTATTTTCCACCAGCGGGGCACCGCCCCAGCCGGAACTAGCTCTAAGCTGTGGTGTAATGCAGTGAATGTAAGTGTGTGTGTGCTTGTGTGTAAGGGAAATGGTAAAACGAGAAACTAATGGTGCTACAGAATGGCACAAACTTTCCTGTATTCGTTTTGTTTCCTTTGGTCTCGGCTAGCTATTCGGACTTGCTTTACTATTGGGAAATCAAAAAATTGAGAAAATTAAAAAAATACATTTAGCGATGATAAATCGCGACTGGGAAGAGTATGTTTCACGTCCTTATAACTTCGTCCTAACTCGAATCCAAAGGAAATATAAAACTAATCTGCGAACGTCACTAGTTTAACATGTGTATCATGTTTAAGATGTTTTCTGCTGGATTTTTTTCATTTTTTAAGTTTTGTTTGTGAAAGAAAATGTTACAAAATCAAAATTTTGTAAAAGTTAAAATATGAAATAATTGCTATGAAATAATAACTGCCATCTTTCATATGTACAAACGAAGAAAACGCAGTTTAATACTAATCTTCATTGCGCATTCTCCCTCTCTCAAAGTCACTATTTGGAGCCTTTTCCTGGCAATGTACTGTATATTCCATTGGTATTCGTTCATCCCACTACGAAAAAAAATTATATTGCCTTTTACGAAAAAAAATTATATTGCTTAATTACCTACTGTAATTAATTTTACTGTCAGGTGCTTCTTGTTTATTGAAGAAAAACCTAATTATAGTGTACGGTATACTCTGTTTTTCGAAAAAGAATGCTTATAAAGAATGCATGAATTAAAATATTTTCAGCATGACCACATTACCTACTTTTCTTATTCGTGCACTTGAAACATTTAGTGTGAATTTTGGTACCATACGTCTCCACAGCTCGTTACTTTTATCAGTAGAGCTAGGGTGCTTGCTTAGGAAGATAATAGTTATATGGCATTGCAACATTGGAGTCAATAAAGGTAAAAACACCCAATACGAAGGAACGTGGTGGGGATGTCAAGAAGGTTATTGTGAACTTACCCCTGAGAGAATATTCTATCCAAAAAATACGAACTGGTGAAAAATTGCATTCCACTGTTCAGTGTACAGTAAACAAATTTAAGTACAGAGGAAAAACCAAAAATGTCAAGAGAAATGGTAATACAAAGAAGTTCAATAAGAGAGGAGTGATTAATTAGAGAGAGATTGCAAGGAAACTCAATTTGAGAGTGCCACATCTGCAATCTCAAGTTGGGAAAGTGAGTGTAAATACCATAAGTGCCTCCACAATTCGAAGGATGTTATGCAGACATGGGTATCACGGAAAAGTCAGGTGTTTACCTCGATTTATGTCATGTTACTTATCAATGCTAACAGCTGTTTTGTAAATCAGCTGATTCAAGTGTTCATTCCAACTTCCAAATACAATTACATTCTAATTAGTCAGCATTCAATCAACTATTGTTATTGATGTAACTATTCACTCAAGTTTATTTATATAAGTTAAATGAACTTCAAATCTTACAAATATCCCTCTACAATAGCTCTCTCCTACTAGAGCATTTCAGAAGTATATTTCAGATACATCAAAGCTTCTATCCCGCTAATAATAGGATAGTGGTCTGATTTCATTCAGAGTTGTCAAGGTAAGTCAAGGGTGAAGTAAGTACCCTTACCCCAAAATCTACATTCCACTACTTTGCAACTGCTTACTGCTCCAAAAACAAACACAAACGGATATAATTACAGTTAAAATAAAAATTAAGAATATCATAAAATGCCTAAAACAACATCTACAATATAAAAATACAATAATTATATTTAACCTAGAAAAAAATTGGAATTGCAGAGATTTCTTACCTTATACACTCATCAGGAAACCTTTGGCAGTCAATTATGCACCGAAAACGCTCCCAAGACATCCACCCCATGGGTGGAGTCAATGCTAGACCATTATTTAAAGCGGAGCATCCTGTCAGCAGCAGTACTGAAGCTAAAAATGTTCGAAGCATTATTGTGAAAAATTAAATTCTGTTGAGAAATGTTGAATCAGTCTTCTGCTCGGCTTTTCAAATAAGAGTTTTACAAGTATTTTGCAGTATTTCAAAATTCCGCAAGTCAAAAAGTATTGTGTACAATATTTTCTGCCATAACGTTCGTTGAAAGCCTCACAGTCCAATAAATTTCATTTTCAAAAGAAAAGATATGTAATGTTATCGTCGTGGTTATAAATTTGAAATTAATAGTGAATATTAAACATAATTAGTAAGCAATAACACCTAAAGTATTTTTATAATCAGTGAATTTGAATTACTACTGAAAAAATGTATGCACGTCGGAATATTGTGTCCAGGTTAGACGACCAACTAAAGCGTCAACAATGACGGTCGAGACAGACGACTGTATTAAAAGAGACAGCGGTTGCTTGGTCCTCAAGATACGAAAAATCTTATTTCTCCCTTACTTTCCAAATAAGTTCACCTGATTCTCATAGAAAATATGAAATTCTTAATGTTTGTAAAAATTCAAAAATGTTGGAATTGTGGTCAGAAAAGACATTTTTGAAAAATCGGATTTTTTGGCAGAAAATATGTTACATGTAGTATTACTCGAGCAACTTTTCTTGAACGATGACCATGCTTCCCCCTCTCTGGCACAATAAACAGTTGAAGGCAAATGCTCGCAGCGAGCACTGATGACAACATTCCAAACACATCTTCACTAGCGCGAAATAGAAACTATTTTTCCTTGAAGATAATTTCTCAAAAAAATGTAAAGAAACGACCGAAGCAGATGAAAATTCTTCACAAGAGATACCTCGAACTACTAAGAAAGTTAAAACACAAATTATTGAGAAAGTTGCGATGGCATGACTGATTCTGATTGCGTCATAAAATCTAGTGGCTGATTCCGTAACTAATACCCCAAGTCTACCCACATCTTCAATCTATCGTTCAAGAAAACTTGCGCGAGTAACACTATAGTCTTTTGAGATAAATTAGCATTTCCCATTTCAATCCAGTTCAATCCAGAAGCCCATTTCAATCCGCGCCGCACTCGGAAATATTCAGTGTTTTCACTTAACTTAGAATAAAAAGAACACATTTAAACACGGTTTTCTCAAAAACGTCTCAAAATTTAATCCTTTTTAAAATTAGTTTCTATTTTTTTTTATGGATAGAGTTAAATGCGACGTACCATAAGATATCAGCGCCATTTTGATTAAACCTTTTGATTTCGTTCATTAATTCGAACATGAATATTATCCGATCGATCTCCAACTGCGAATTTGAAACAAATCTTTTAACTTTGGAGAATACAGAATACTGGAGCCTCTGTAAATTTTTCTGAAACAATACATTTCAATATTTTTTTCTTTAAAACGTTTGTTAGAATTTCAATTAAACTATTGGGGGATTGAAAATAGAAAACATGTTAAGAAAGAAATGTCTTTGGTAAAACAATTTCCTCAGTTCTTCTTATAAATTACTGGAAAGAAACATATTCATTACAGAAAAATATTGATAGATTTTAACGCTAAAGTAACTTGGTTTACATTGTTACGATGGAAACGAATAGTGTCAAACGTCATTACGATCGAGCACATTATAGATCGTGTAAGCATAAAAAGGTTCTTTTTTGTTATATTATTATTTTTTCCACTTTGGTTAGGTAAAGTGAAACATTATGGTTTTATAATCACTTTCGTAATGAAGTACTACACCACACTAGTGCAGTGAAGTGATGGCATACTTTGCTACTTTTCTTTCAAAACTATTTTCGACTTCTTGTCTTGTAACCTTTACTTTTCCCCTTTAAAACGCTAATAACTGACTTAACGTACCGATATCTGATAACTGACTTAACGTATCGAATTTTTCCTTGGCTGCCCGGTGCATAATACCGGACGCGCAGCACCGTGGTGTCACTGTCCTGAGTAAGCCTGCGTCATGACAGGCGAAACGTTGGCCTCTCAGACAACGCCGCGGCGCGGCGTCACCCGCACAGCCAAGAAGACATAGGCTCGAGCCGCGGAGCCGTACGTTTACATTTTATATCAATATCGTCATTAAGTGATATTGTACTCTTTAACATAAAGTTGTGGGAACAAAGACTTTTTGGTTTCTCTCTCTCTGACTTGCCCGAAAAGTAAGCAATTTCCGATATGGAATGAACTTTTGTTTTCACATCAATCTTTAAAAATTAATTTTCACGCTCATAGTTGTTTGTTCATTTGTTAGGTAACAATGTTTTTAAAGTGGCAGTTGCTGCTATTTCTATTTCAAAATCAGAACTATATTCACTTATGTCGAGAAGTACACACCAAGTGTTTCAATTGTTCTCCTTGTTGAGTACAGTGTCACCCCACATAGGAGAAAAAATGTGAATACTAATTGACGGCATAGCCTGAAATTTCACAATAAATCTACCAAACTTTTACAAAGTGGGTAAAACGTTGTACGATATTCGTGTCGTAACATCTGATTACAATACTCAATTGGTTACCAAACTCGGCCTAACGGTCTCGTTTGGCAATTTTCCAATCTCATATTGTAATCAGACACATTACGACACTAATATTGTAAATAACTTTTAGCAAAACATTATTATTATCCTATAACCGTAAAATGCGCACCAATTGAGTCTGGCTCGTGGGATAGGGTCTTCAGATAAGGGAGCCCAAGTACGTGAAAAGCTGGGTTCGAAACCGACGTACGGCAGGAATGTTTTAAGTTGCGTTCGCGGCGGGGGACCATCCGGAGTACCTCGTTTATCTCACCAAAGGCCTAGTTTTTCCATAAGTAGCTATATGAGATCCGTGAGCAATGTGACTGTTTACGAAATAGAGAAACAGGCACTCTTCTCCCAGAGCAATGGAATGGGATGAGCAGCGGTCTACCACTTGCATTGTAAAGGACCGAGAGCCGTAAGGGCTACCTTTGCGTCATTTTCAGGAAGCGCGAGGGTGCTCTCCACAGAGAACTATTTTCAGAGCAGCGGTGGTTACCGCTCAATATGTCCCAGATAGATCGTAACCGGAAATGAGGTGGATGGAAAAAGGTTATACCCCACTTGATGTATTGATTGATTAGTGAGTAGTGATTAGTTCTTGAATATGTATTAAGTATAATGATCACGATCTGCTATCACTCGAACCTGTCGACTGGGAGAGGTGTCTCGAGGCATCAACAGATATTACTGCAGTTCCTACGACCGGGAGGTCCTGGGGTTTTAGTCCCGACGACGGCAGGATTTTCGGTAATTCGATAGACTGCTAGGTCGAGTTCTGACTCTTTCCGGAATTCTAGCGGCCGGCTGCTCTGATAGTTTTTCGTGGTTTGTCCGATTAACTCCTGGCGAATGCCGGAGTAGTACTCTACAAAACGGGTCACGGATCGCACGCGATCTTTCCTTCCCATTTCTTGTCCTATTCTACCTCTTACACACACACTAACATTCACATGGCGAGAGACCGGTCGGGAGCTTAGAACTTGTCCTGGCAAGGGCGGTGTCCCGCTGGTAAAAGATACCCGATTGTGGAAAACCCCGCTAGCCGATGGTAGGTCGGCACCGAAACTCGCCATCCAGGGGTGATCCAGATCACCACCACCTCCCGAGCAAAGAATATGCACCACACGCATAGGACTAATGACCTTAGCAGCTGACGCACCCGGAATCACTAATAATCAATCAGTCGAACCAGTCGTGTGTGCACTATCACTACTGTCAGGGAGAGACTTCCTTGTCCTTGCTTACCCTACCGGCGGAGTAGAAAAGATTCAAAGTTTTTGTTGGTTGCCAGTCGCAAAAAAATAAAATTACTCAAAAATGTATTATTGGGACAAACTGTATCAATTGCATTCGGCTTTTCGCTCAAGACCTCACCCCTCCTTTTCCATCCGTAAACATTAAGGTGCAACACATGACTATAAGCAGCGCAATGTATCTGTAGAGAAACTCTCGTATGTAGCAAAGTAGAGTTTTCTCTAAAACTAACATTTTTCGATGGGAAATCGATTGCACCAAACTTCCAAAATAACGATAAAATACTACATGATTTTTATTGGTATAATTCAATCTGTAGTTTGATATGTATTTGTCATTTTAGAGCGACTGTTCGACTAGCTAACGGTGTTACCCATGCCTGGACCAAGTTTAATTTCCACGCTTGGGAGGTAAGACCCGAAAACACCGCGTCCGATTGGCGTGCTCCTTTTTCTAACCGCGATCTATTTTTCAGAATTTTCAGCCGGCCCTTTGGCCCAGGACTGATTTTTACGCTTTGTTCTTTACTACTGTTTGCGGTTTTGAAAGAGTTTACATAAGCGTCAATATGCGTACTTTTGGCTATTAATTTCCCTCGGGGAACGGGCGATCGGAAACGCTCGCGTTTGATATTATCGAAACGACCCGATTGGGCCGGCTTCGAGCGTATTTTTGGATACGGCCGTATTGCAATATAGCGAAATTGTTAAACAATTGTTTAAACAATTGGCGTTCGTTCCCGAAAAACAACACGCAAATCTGATTTGGCGTCGTTTTCTCTTTAAACACGGAGGAATTTTTCAGAATTTTCCGTCGGCCCGTTGCGCCCCCCCCGGACTGGAATTTACGCATTGTTACCCTTTACTCCTGTTGTCGGTTTTTGAAAAGTTCCGAAGTCAAACGGAACTTGCATTAAATTTCCTCCGGAACGGCTGTCGGAAATCGACTCGCGGTTTTGAAATATCCGAAACGAACCGAGGGGCGCTTCGGAGTCGTATTTTTTTAGAAGCGCGTAATCGCAATTAGCGAATTTTTAAAACAATTTGTTTTTAAACAATTGCGTGCTGTCCCGAAAACCAGCCGCATTCTCCTTTGGGCCGCGTCTCTTTAACACGGGATGAATTTTCAGAATTTCTGTCGGCCCGTTTTGCGGCCCGGGACTGAATATGCTTTTTGATTCCTTTACTAGTGTTGCGGTTTTGAAAAAAGTTTCCAAGTCAAAGCGAAGTTTGGCATTTCATTTCCTAACAGGAACGGGCGGTCCGGATCGAGCTCGCCGGTTTGAAATTATCGAAATGACCCGGACGGGCGCTCCTGACTTTGTTCTATTTATTGGCAAGCCGCCGTATTGCAAATTAGCCGAATTTTGTTAAACAATTTGTTTAAACAATTGCGGGCGGATCCCGAAAACCACCGCAATCTCGTTGGGCGCGTTCCTCTTTAACCACGGAGAATTTTTTCAGAATTTCTGTCGGTCCCCGTTTGCGCCTGGACAGAATTTTAGCTTTTTCCGTTTACTCACTGGTGGCGGTTTTGAAAAATGTTCAAAAGTCGAAGCGTTAACCGTTGGCCCATTTAATTCCTCCGGAAGGGACTTCGGATCGCTTCGCGTTTTGAAAATTACCGAGTACGGACCCGAGAGGGCGCGTCGGACGAGTATTTTTATCGTGCGCGGCGGACCGCAAACGGGCGAATTTGTTTAAAACAAATTCAATAAACAATTGCGATTACGTTTCCGAAAACCACCGCATGCCGTTCCGGCCCGCCTTCTTCCGTACGAAAATACAAAATTTCCAGAATCCTCGGGCGCGCCCGTTCGGAGCCCGGAAGGCAGTTTCTCTTTCCGATTCCAGGCGAATGCCCCCCACCTCGAGCTCGGGGGCTTCGTCCCCCGGGCGCGCTTTCCCGGCGGGGGTCTTTCCCTCTGGCGTGAGAGGTTACACTCGGGAGGAGAGGAACACGAACTCCTTCGCCTTTGCACGGTGCGCACTTTTGCAAAGCGCGCGCTTTGGGACGCGGAATCAACTTTCCAAGTGAAATGCCGTTGCGGCGGGCTCGCCTCAGCGCGGGCGAACAGTAGACTTTACCGGCGCTTCGACCCCGAGTACGCGTTCGCCGTCGGGGCCTTCTCCCCGGCGTAGAGGTCGGCTTCGAAAGAGGTGAACTTTCACCAGCGTGCCGCCCCTCTTTGTCGTGCGCGCGCCATTGCTAAAACTGAAGCCTCCGCCTTCGTGATTTAATTCCTCTTTTTTCGGGTAGTATTTTTTAACTGTTTCCTCTTGTTGTTCTTCAGTGCCGGCCCGGGTGCTGGGTCCAGGGGTGCTTAGGGCGCCGGTGGGGCCGTTGACTATGCCCCCGCCCTCGCATAAGTGGCGCCGCCTGCTCCTGACTGTGCCGCCGGTGGGTCTGCTGCGTTTTCTTTCCCGGTCGGCGGACTACAAGCAAGTGTTATCAGAAAACTCCAACCACGATCATCTGCGTCACGTCACGGAC